AGCACCGCCCACCCAGCGACGGAAGCTGCCGCGGCGCCGCGAAGCAGAAACGGCGCCACAGGCCCCCGGCCTCCCGTCCCTGCTGCGCCGGTTAAAGGGACTGCAAAGGGCAGAGGCAATCAAGGAAGCCGACGCAGGTGTTAGTGAGAATACAGCTGTTTTAATAATTCCAATAGCAGCTCGGTATGTTTCCCGTTTATTATACATGGTTGCACGATCTGAGGCTGGTTAAATACAATCAAGTTTTCAAAATCTCTCAGAATCATTTCCAGATTACAACATGCAAGTGACCATGAAAATATTTGGCTTTTTATACTTTATTCTTTCAATTTCTGAACAGGCACTTACATGAGGGAGTTAAATTTGCTCTCAGTTAAAGATATCTGCGTTAGAAGTATCCTAGCATAAAGTACACAGAGTCTTTGCTTTATCAAAGTGCCACAGTAATAAAACAGTTCTTACAGAAATGTAATTTGATTATTTACTTACTCATAAAGTAAGGTTACCAATGACACTTGCACCAGAGTTGAAAAGTCTTGGTTTAAAGGCCAAGTGAACTACAAGCACAAGTAGCCTTCCACACAGCAGGCTGCGGTTTATGCCCAAGCCACATGTCTGATAACAGACTACATGCTCAGTTGTGAACAGATGAAGGCTAACTCTTTTAAGCTACTTCTTCAAACACTAAATGCATATGAGATGATTAAGACAAACGATCTGCTGTGCCAGACAAGCTTGTAACAGTTTTAAGGCTTGCCTGGCTTCAAAATACCTTTCCAGAAGACAACAAAAAGCTTGTTTGCCCTTGTTACAAGCCCGGATGGATTAGAAGGATGTCCTCCGAGGACCTTTTGCCTCTCCTGTCAGGACAGTGAGGAGACAGACTGCAAAGACAGCAGAAGCACGAAGCCAGGAGGAACCACAGTTTCATGTATTTGCAAAATAATCAGTTACCAGCATTTAATTCATCAGTAAGAAACAACTACGTTCAAATACTTTACCTGCTCACCACCTGAAGGTGAAATCATGATAGCATCTCTACAGCCACTTGTTACTGGGCAGCGAACCCCCCAGAAGCCACGAGTGACTCACATGAAAGGCTGAGAGAAGTATAGTAGAGAGAACTGGGAGAGGGAGGGCAAAGATGCTTCCAGACATCCTTTGCTACTGACAGACTCAAAGCTTCTCAGAAACCTTGGTGACTGAAGGCTCCACAGTTATTGCAGCCATAGTGCATATAGATACAGCTTCAGTTAAACCCTGTCTAACACAGTACTTAGAAGTCTTAGGACAAATTTCCTGTAAACTTCAATTTTTAGTGTGATTTAGTCAATTGTGTCTTACCGTAGTTTGAAAACAAAAGAAATGCAAAAAAGCAACATTGGAAAGCAACATGCAATAAACAACATGAGAGAAGGGAAAGGCTTTAGTCTACACTGTGTAAGTGATCAGCAAAAATCAAATATACCAGCCTACCATGCGTGGAAATAACTAGATTTAAGCTTATGCATATCCAAGTGCGTAGAACATGATCAAATAAAAGTGTGCAATATAAAATAGTAGCTTAAGAAAGTTCCAGTGTTTGAGAAAGCACTTTATTTTAAATGTATATACATACTTGAATGTTTAACTGAAGAATGCTTTAGTAGTATGGTAAATGCAGCACTGCAAGATGAAGGAAGACAGTTGTAATCGGAATTTTGGCCTTCTTTTCCCACAGGCTGCTGCCATCTTTAACCTGCTGAAGCATCGTAAAGTTTTTCCACCTTAAAGCAGTTCACATTTCGGGTTGCTCAGCAGATGCTTGTGATTCTGGAGATTCAAATCGCTGGTGAAAGTTTGTTCGTTGTTTCCTCAGCTTCTCAGGAGCTTTTCTCCATAAAATTATTTCCTATTTGAGGAAGGAAACATTTTTGAAACCACCATTTACCATTAAGCCAGCAGCATCAAGCATCTTAAGTTCCTGATAGGCAAAGACTTTGGGGGGAGAGGAGGAGTGGGGAACACCACCACCACCACCCCAAAACAACACACACTCACACCACAAAAAATTCTGCATCCCTATTACTTACAGAACGGAGCAGTACATATGGAAAGGAACAGAAAGATGACACAATTAAGTTTACATATTTAGTTACTGCCTGAACACTTACCTTTATCAATCTCGAGCAGTCACCTCTTCTTTAACAATCCTACTCCCAACTTTGATCATATTAAAAAGTTCAAAGTTTTTCTTCCTTCTTTTCTCAAAATCCAAACCCCAACATAGCCACTGTATGCTCCAGTTACCTTTAGTTTTCCATGTTTAACTATACTGCCTTGTCTATTCTTTAAAGGAATATTCTGATCTAACCCACACAGCTTCATTCCAGTCACCCTTTTCATTCTTTCTTTCCTGAGCATGACCTCTACTTTTGTGGTTTTCAGTCTTTATCAATCTCGAGCAGTCACCTCTTCTTTAACAATCCTACTCCCAACTTTGATCATATTAAAAAGTTCAAAGTTTTTCTTCCTTCTTTTCTCAAAATCCAAACCCCAACATAGCCACTGTATGCTCCAGTTACCTTTAGTTTTCCATGTTTAACTTCACTGCCTTCTCTATTCTTTAAAGGAATATTCTGATCTAATCCAGCTTCATTCCAGTCACCCTTTTCATTATTTCTTTCCTGAGCATGACCTCTACTTTTGTTGTTTTCAGTCAAATGTCTTAACCCTTATTACAATCTTGAAGCTGGGCTAATGCTGGGAGGGGAAATCTATCTGCAGTAGTTTAAGAAAGCAAGAAAGCAAGTGCACCTGTAGCTCAGTTTACCCAAAGTGTTTTCTCTGGTTATTCACAATGTAAGGCTGTTCTACGGCACTGAAGGGCAGGAGGTTGCTGAAATAGTATCCATCCTTGCTGAAATAGTATCCATCATTCCCCTTGGCTCCCTTTTGCAAACTACTATTTTCTGTACAGCTTCCAATACATTCACCAGCAGAAATGCTAATACCATGCAGGAAGCAAAGGTGGCTTCATGTACGTGCTAATGTGCTTAACATTCAAAGCAGCACGTTATGTCCAACAGCCCAGATAATTCTGCAACAAGATTCCTGTTGACCGTACCTGCTGTTTGAAGTATCGTCTGTCTTCTTCATCCACAAGCACTAGATTTAAGAAGTACCTCACTGAAAATTTTTTGTTCACATCCCTCATTGTTGGAGTTGGGTCATAGCCTGCTAGGAACAGTCTTATAGGAATTGATTCACCTTAAAAAACAAAAGTGTTTCAATTAGTTCATTTAAACTGGATGTCGTTAATGCAGTTTCAGAAGACATGCAAGATAAATACAGTTTCCCAAGCACTGTCTGTGCCCCTTCCTTGGTTTAAGAAAGAAAAAAAAACGACGACCAAAAAATATCACAAACCTAATAGTGAGCACAGAGACAAGTATGAAATCAGAAGTAGAAACACTTTCTCAGTGCAAGTAAGGTAGACAGGCAAGACAAAAGGAACTGTCTAGAGCTGGTCCACACCCTGGAGTCAGGTTTGAATCAAAGTGATAGAAGGATCAGTCACAGAATTTCCAATGCTAAATAAGGGTAAGAAATCTTAGGATCTCAAGTGATAAGCCCCAAGTCAATAAAAATGTCTGCTTTGAAGTGATAGTGAATTTTCCTATTCAGCAAGGAGGAGAAGTGTGGTTTCTTCTTCTTCCCCTTGTAAGTGTGGTTTCTTCAAAAAACTTTACACAAGTCATCTCTACTCCTTCAGATTTTTTTTGCTAATGGAGTTTTAACTCAAAATGCTTACCCTTTAAAAGAAACACAGTTATTTACCTTTAACCGGTGCACCATCCATTATTTCATACTTTGCAATGGTCTCAGTCTCTGTTGTGGTACTGGGTCCTGGCAAAACAAGTTTTCACTGTGAACACAGGCTTCAGTTCAAAACATTTAAAGCTTTATCACAGCAATTTCTACTGCAGCATTTAAATTAACATACTACTACATTTTTTTGCCTTCATCTTGCATATAAGTTACACACTGCTGACGCACGCCAAACTCTCTCCCAGGTAGAGTATCTGCTTCTTTCTCTCTCCTCCCCACACTGACCTAGAAGAGGCAGTAGCCAGTGTTTCAAAGGAGCCCTTTAAATGAGGAACAAGATGCAGGGTAGGACTTGTGAAAGAGTTCTGCTTGGTGGGCAGTGCCAGCAATTGCTACTTTAGGCCATGATCAGACTAGAAACCTGAAGGGTTATCACCCAGCACAAGATCCATCTTCCTCCAGAGCCTAGGATGAGGAAGACAGCATCTAATGTATCCACAAAAGCAAACAAAGTAGAGTTTCCTGCCCTTCCTCTATTGCTATGAAGGCTTTCTCATCCTCCACACAAGCAGCTCACAATGGCTGCAGCTGCTGGGGAGTGAAGTTGTGAGCCACAGCCTCTCCCTGCCTTTCTAGTTCCAGGGTACACAAGCCTGATCTGCAATAATCAAGCTGTTTCTGTTTCAAAACATCTTCGTATTTCCATCATACCAGTTTTAGGCTGAAAATGAGACAATTCTAGAATGTGAGAGATTCATGTTAATTTTTAACAAGCCCACTTCACCAGCTAATCTCTGCAGAGGCAAGGAGGTCTTCAGGATGCCCCTTTTCTCTTGTTCATTATCTATCAAGGCCAATTAAGCTGCTGTATATTTATGCCCAAATTCCATTACAGTGGTTCACATTTCTGAAGTGAGACCAACAGTCACAATCCCAGAACAGTGCTACAGGCTGACAATGTGGACTACTAACTATAACTACCAAAGCACAAAATGCAAATGGCAGTCAAACACCAGTGAGAAAGAAGCACATGTAGCATTGGTTTAGCCAAAGCTGCAACTATTGACTTCACTCTTCAGGTTTGCATAAGGCTCAAACAGCCCTTTCTTTCAGATTTTGTTTCTCTTACCAATTCCAGTGATCTCCTTTTTGATCAGCTGCAACTCCATGTGCTGAATTTTTATTCTTACTAAAAGGAAATAAATTTTTCCAACAATCACGTCCTTTAAGTGATACCTTTAAAAGAACAGAAAAGGGGATTTCATTAAAGAGTAGACACAACTTACATCTTCTTGAATACAAGTTATACAGGTAGTTACCTATCTGCCTGTTAATTACTTAGAGCTTACTACTCCACTGAGCTAAGCATCTCAGCCAGACCAGTGCAACTACCACCGTTCTATTATTGCAGTATTAGCAAAGGAAGTACTACAGTAATATCGAAAAACCATAAACTCAGTAATCAAGTCTTAAATATTTACTAGTGACCTATCTATTAGTATTAAAAGCAAAACAGACAAGTATTCCTCAAAAAAGGCCATTGTGTAATTAGTAAAAACCTAACAGCTCAACACAATAGTCACTGAAAATGTCACTTGACATTTTAAGTCAGGTTGTTCACCAAAGATTACATACTCTATCTTTTTATCCTGAGATATTTACTTGAATGTGTTCTGTTCTAAGCAACACTTACTTTGACTTATTGTATTCAAACTCTATATGAAGACAGTCTTCAATGCCTACTTCCATTTTGATGGAGTTGTTTACATCTGGGTACGTAGCCAGCTGGTGAACAATCAGATCATATTCCTTCACCAAGTCTGACAGCCGTCTCACTATCGTCACTTTTAGAAAATACCTACAAAGAAAGCCATTGAGTTAGCTGTAATTATTGACAATTGCATTATTAAAAGCCCTTATGCTCTGAAGTACAGATATTCTTTGAAAGACAAGAGTACATTCTCTTAAGACTAAGCAGAAAAGAATAAGACACTTGCAGGTAGAAGCGTGGGGTGTTTGGTTGTGATTTTTTTGTTTACTTGGGGGTTTTGTTTGCTGGTTTTTTTTATTTAAATGAGAGACACAGACTCTCTTCACTTGACTGAACAGAAAGAATTTTATCTATACAAACCACACTAGGCAATTCCAAATAAAGTAGAAAAGGCCACATTATAACACAACCTCAACAACTCCATCCAAGGCACACTAGTTACTGGCTGTTACAGGTCTGATTCGAAATCCAAAAGGAGGAAGTAGGGAGGAAGAGTGCAGCATAACTGGTAAATTATGGATTTGCTGCAGGGGAGGAGGGGAGAGAAGGCTTAACAGTTACAAACCTCAGTCTGACGTTGGCACCAATGTAGGATTCATATGGCTTCTCAACCTGCATGAATTCAAAGTCATAGCTCCTGCTCTGGGTCAGTTCTCCAGGTAAGGCCAGCTCTTTCACTAAATTTACAAATTCATGGGTATTGCTTTTGTCATTGAAGAGCTCTAAAGTTGAGGAAGTTAAAGGAAAACAAGTTTCAGTGTTTATTTTTAGGAAAAAACCATCTGTCTCTAGCTTGGCAGAAGCAGGTGGGAGAAGACAAAAGCAGCAATTAATTCGATTTAAGTTACATACGTTTGACCAAATATTTTATCCAGTTTCTCAATGTTATCTTCGGTTTCAGCAGCCTAAGCAAGCATTCCTAAACAGCTAACTGCAATGAATGCAACACATATTTGAAGATTCAATAGCATGGCATCTTTTTTTAATGACAGTTTAGCTAGCTTTAAAAAGTCCTTCTTGCCTTGCGTTCTCTGTAATTAGCATTGCCCAATTTTGGCTTCCAGTATTTATTGCTAAAGGGACAAAATCTAAGCACCATCAAGACTGGCTCATTTAGGACAGGCCTGTGATCCCAACTGGTCTCCTGGAGATTAACACCACCTATCAAATAATTTCCTATTACTACTGGCCTACAATCAAATGGCTCACTATGACCACTGGTCTAAGTCAGTCATCTGGAAACAAGCTCTTAATACATAAGCACAGACACCAGTTTCACTGCAACAGCATCTCCTGTCCCCACACCGGTGTCAGTATTATTTATCTCTAGGTCTGTCATGCAATTCTCACCAAGATAAAAACTTATAAAGTTAGGAAAAAAAGTAACATTACCATAAAAAACTCCAAACACTTTAGTATATAAAAACAAGCTTCTCTACAATTCACCACTGAAAATATCAGCTGAGAACATTAGTAGCAGTTGGTTTTACACAGTCTGAAGCTTTTCACAAGAGGAAAAAGAAAATGAACTGAACACACCAACTCCACAGTTTAACATTGCCAGCTTGGTAGAAACTGACACTAACTGGTAGCTGCTTCTTTTTTAAGGTGACTCAAAATTATTTAAGATGTACTTTCTTTGCTATGACAACCATTTATATAATACAAAGTTTATTTACTACTGCATATCCAATCTTCTTTGTGCCAGTCAGAAATGTTGTACTCTGAAGAGCTGATTTACAATACGTCTTTGACATGTAGCTGGAGTAGTTTCCAAGTAGTGCAGAGACAGATCACAGATGCATTTCGTATTACAGTATTAAAGCTTGAAAGGATGTAAGAAAACACGGACAAGTACAAAAAGCAGTAGCTTAAACCACTTCTGTCAGCGTAACTGACAACCTCTAAACTGTAGCACAGCTGAAAAAATTCAAGAAACACTGTGTCAAATGAAAGTCATTCAGAGAGCAAAATTTATGCATCAGAGTAGCTGAAGAACAGCCTGTACAGCTATCAGACGATAGCTATCAGGCTAAATGAAGCTGATATACACGAGCTCTGTTTTTTCCCTACCTCTAAATGCCTCATTCCCATCACACTGCTGCTTTATTCTGAAAATTTGCTCTTACAGCCTCATTGATCAAAACCTCAAACATAAAGCAGCAGGTGTCAGAACTCAGTCATACCTGCTACATAACTTTTCAGACACAGGGTACTAGAACCCAGTGACTGATCAGAAAAAGAGAATTTGTGAAATTACAAACAAAGTCAACTGCATGAGACTGAAACTTGAAGAATTACTTCCAAGTGGGACAATAACAAAACAGTCCTCTAACAGAGGAGGAATGAATTGTACTGTCAGTCTAAGGGTACAGAGAGATTACCTTGACCGGTGAGAAGACGTGATCAAGATTCTTCATAATTCAAATCTAACCAGATTTAGACAATACTGGTTTATGTTACCAGTATAAGACTAGGCTTTAGAGAACCAACAACTTGAGAATTTTTACAAGTATTTTGCTATAACGCTGCCCCATCGTTCCTTCTTTATGTCTTTTCTCTTTGAGAGCCAGAATTAAAGACCACAAGTTTTGTTTTCAGAAATCTCTACTAGTTCTTAATTAAACTTTTCACCAATCTTCGACAGATGGAATACTCACCATGTCAATTCTCACTCACACGTACGCATCTTCCCTTCCAATGACTTTCTGACCAGCACAGATTAGTACATCACTTGCATTAAAATACAGATGATATAATCAATCTTTGGCATTTGCCATCCACTCACCCAACCAGATTGCAACGTTTGAGCCAAACTGCTGACAGTCTCACGTGCCAAGTTCCATAATCCACACGCAACTAACATCCCCTTTATAGCTTAAACTCACCAATTTGTCCTACAAATTCAATTCTGATTCCTTGGTGCTCTAGTCTCTTCCCATGCTGCTTAAAGGAGATGTTCACCTACCGAGGCAAAACGAAAACCAAAACAAACAGTTAAAATTTTGCAACACTTTAACACCTGATCTTAGCAAAAAGGAAAACACACTGCTACATGCCTAAGAAAACTGAGACTTCTCAGCAAAACTACCTGAGCTTGAAGGCAACCACATCAAACAGCTGATTATGAAATTAAGTATTTTCAAGGTGCCACTAAAGCTTTTAAGAAAAACCTAATCATCCACAAGACTGAGTTTAATAACTAAGCTTGAAACTTTTGAGTTCCAAAATTAAGAATCCAAGCTAGAACTTCAGTAGACTTTGCACAAGCCAGTCGTGACCCTCTTGCCAACTTTGAAGGCAGAGAGCTTCAAAGCATCTTCTGAGAGTCTCATTTGGAAGAAAAAAAAAAAACTGCCACGAGATGCATTCCTTTCAAATCAAGTGAACTTAAGTCCCTTCCTCAGCAGACAGCTAAGTATTTGTGTCAGAGAAGTCAATGAAAAATAACAGATAATGGAAACTACTATCAAGACCTTCATTTGTGAACTTGATACTCATAAACAGACCTCTCCTCACAAAAAAAGATTCTGTAAGGTTACTGCATTGTGTAAGTATTAAACATACACATTTCCTTATGAGGTAGCAGTGACCAGAGAAATTCCTGTACCTTAAAATCCAGTACATCATCAGTACCAGAGTAGAAAGTAAACCACTTGAATCTTTGTGGTGAAATGGAGAAGAGAGGTAGATGGAAGCTGTCCAGTAAATTACTGATCTTCCAAACCGTCTCATCTCATTTGTGCTTGTGTTAGTCAAAACTCATCCGACTCCTCTCAGGAGTCACTGATAAAAGCAAGAAGTCCTCAGGCCAATGAGCATACAAAAGCTAATTCCCTCAGTCTCCTGAGTTTAAGGCTCATCTTGTGGGAGTTTCCCATCCCTGAAAAAATCCTTCTAGAGAACCAAGGTCATAACACGGAGTAACAGTAACATCTTAAGAGTAGGAAGATGCTCAGTGACAATAGGTTGGTCAAGATCAAAGCATGTATTTAGAAGTCAATCTCAGAACCCAACACCTGGCTCAAGTTTCTCGAATGAAAAGCGATTCATAACAGAAATATTCAGAGAATGAGAATGGCACCAGTAAAGCAAAAAAGACTGCAAGAAGTTCTTAGGTGCAATACTGAAAACAGGTAACTCCCTCTGGCAATCTCAACTTCATTTGTTTTCCAACAGGAAAAACTCTTGTTGACAGCAGCCAGCTGAACATCATATGTTGCTCCTCTGATGCAATCCCAGGAAACACTTCAGGGCATGAAGCATAAGGCTTAGCTTCAGGGTACACAAAGCAGGTTGGCGGCACCAACCAAAAATTACTGTTACATGTGTTGGGTTGTGGATTTTGGAGTTCGAGGGGAGGGGAAGCAGGAGGATCCAGTTTGGAATAGTTTTCTTGTCAGAAGCAACGATAGGATTGCACACAGTTGCACAAAGCTTATTCATAAACACAAGATAACTGGAAACAAATAAACAGCTACTGTTCAAAATGTTATAACAGTTATAACAGCTGCCTGAATGACTATGGTAAGACAGACTGCTTTCTCTTTAAATAAGATGACAAGCTGAAATGGCAGCTTTTTCCCGTATCACTTTTTAATTTAACTTACATGTTAGCATGCCAGAATCAGCACAGTAATTAAGTCACTTTAAAAAAAAAATATTACCTTTCCTGAAACGGATTCTCCATCATAGAAGAGAAAATGCTTTTCTATTTTACCATCTTCTGTTTTTATTTCTGCTGGTTTTCGTGTTTCGGCATCATTAAGAATAACATCAATCTCACAAACGGGACCAAAAAAGCCTCCGAGAAAACTCTGGAACAACAAGAATTAGTAAGTTACTACACAGTGGACGCTCCATTTTAAATGTGGTACATTATACACTGGGGAAAAACATTTGTGCTCTCATGAAGCTGCAGAGCCATTATGTATTAAAGACGCAAGAAACAGCATTTACAGAAGACAGTTGTTCATCTAGCAAATAGCTGCAAGCAGGTCTGTAACAAGCAGCGACAGCTCTTACAAAGCATTGATTTTAGAAGTGCACAGCATAATTACTGTTATTACTATGCTACACCGGGATAACAACAAATACTTAAAATATTACTGTGACAAACAGAAGTTTGAAACTGCAAGTTTCCAGTCACTGATTTAACTTTTAAAAAAAAAAAAATCAAAGTTTCTAAGCCACACTTAAAAAAGTCTTTCTAACGCATTTATTTCAGCTGGTTTAGGATTTGAGATAGTATGCCAAAAATTTTTCGTATTGCTTTATACCTGCTATAACTTACTGCAAAAAGAGCAGTAACAAAGATGATCAGAAGAGCAAAGTAGGGTGCAAAGAATCAACAGGGGACACATTACACGGCCTAGAGCATCCCTGAGTTGGCGGAGGGGAACACAGACTTATTTGCTGCCTGTTCCTATGCCTCACAGTTCTTCTTCGCAAACAAAAAGAGCACGAGCAGGTTCACGAGGCAGAAGTCCTTCACGCAGTCTATGCCAGCTACACAACTCTGCCACCAGATTGAGTGGATGTGACCAGTTCCCCTGCAATACTGCTCCAGGCATCGATCCCTCATGAACATTACATGTTTGTCCTCACAACAGCGTTCCCTAGGCACCAACTTTGGACCAGCACCAAACACAAGAAACCAGGAGAGATCATCCTCTGACCTTGCACAAACATTTCTTACAAGAAACGGCAAAACACATTAGCAGCTCTACAGGAAACTCAACAGAATTAGTAAAAAGCTCACATTTTCTCCTAAGGATTAGGCACTAATTTGCTTTGATGTACTAAAGCAGACAACACTTTACTAACTTAGTAAGACTTTTCTTTTTGAGAGAAATTACACTATGTTCCTCACGCTATCCACTTCGACGAGATGAAAGTCATTCTCACTTCACTAATTTAATCTCAAAATTGGAGTAAGAACACATTCCAGACATTCTGGAGACTTGAAATTTGAAACATAGCATTAAGAACAGTAAGTGCAGAAGTAAGTTTGACCTGAACGCTTCTGCCTAGCAGTAGGAACAGAGGGTAAATTTTGCTTGCCCCTGCAAGTTAAGCAAAGGCATGTGGCAATTTTGGGCTATAAACCAGCAATTTGCACGAGGCTAAACTGACTTTGTGTTTGCTCAGATAGCAAGCGGCCCTAGTTCAATCCATAAATAAGTATATAACTAACAGAAACCTGGTTCTAGCTACTTCTCATTCTCACATGAAAGCAGAAGCAGATGACCAAAAAGGCGCTCAAACCTAAGACCAAGTGGTCCTCCAAGTCTCTGTCAAGCACATATTCACATTAACTGCTGAAACCAAAAATAAACCTTTTTTTTTTTTTAAAGTAATAAAAAGTGACTGCACACTCAAATCATTCTTGATTTTTGGCTCCTGGGGAAGGGGGGAACAGAAAGGAGAACTTTTAAGCAAGAATTCCAAGTCTTTAGGAGTATTTTAAACCGTTACACAAGTTACTTCTGGACATGCCCTTTTTTTTTTCTTAGAAATTCTGCATTTCTTCTCCAGATTAGCTTTATACTTTCTTCTCCCAAAGCAAAGAAAGCAGGACAGTACCTTCAAGTGAACATTATATAAGACAGTCTCACAGTACCTTCCAAATTACAAAGCTGTACCATCATTTAAAGCAACCCGCCAGAACTAACACTGGTAACACGTCGCTTCTCAAGACACTGCGTATGAATATTTCAACTGTACCCCTTAGAGATTACCCATAACCTCATCCAGAGAGGACAAGAACATATGGAATAAAGAAATTAACAGCTGGCATCTCCTCCACTTGCCATGAAAGATACTGCAAGGAAACTATGTAATGCAAAGTATTTTAAGAAGCTATCATATGGCTTATTATGTTCCAGCTTAAGAAAAGGAAGGCGGAGAACTAAGGTTTTCAGAAGCTGACCAAAGACTACGGGATGTTCGTGACTTCATGCAGCAGACGGATGCTGAAGATTTTGCCACATCAGGGCTGAAATCAATTGCATTCAATCCTTCCGTATTACAGCTGTACTAAAAGACTTGCAAGACTTCCAGAAGCTGATAAACCATACAGAAATCCCAGCCTCAGCTTCACACGGAGTCAGAAAAAGCTTTTGCGCATCCACCAGAGACAGATGCATTAAGGAATCCACACGCCTCAGAAACCCGAAGTCCGCTGATCTAGCCAATCGTTTTACTTTTTTTTTTCCTTTTTTCAAATCTAGACACCAGAGCACACCAAGCACTTTGCCTAGGCCAGACCTGCTAAGCACAAAGCGGCCACTATTTCACCAGCCCTAAAGTACGACTACCAACCGCTGTCATTTTAAGCACGGGTCTGCGAAAAACCCACAGATGCTCCCAGGACTATCACATGCACTTTTCCCCAAAGCCTCTCCGACAGCAGTTGTGTAAGAAAAACAGAAGCCGAGTTTCACGACCAAATCCCACACTGGCGAGGGCGTGTGCGCACAGAGGAGCCTTAATCCATAAATTACGCTAAAAACACTCCAAACCTTTGTTTTTTGCCATCTCGCTTCAGTGCTGTTTTGCCAGCCCTCCCCCGCGCCCGCTCTGCACCG